CTCCCAATATTTTTTTTTCAATCTTGGGATACACCTTCCCCTATAGACTCTGATCCTGCTTCACATGTGTTTATTTCCAGCATCTGTTCTCTCTACATGTTCATTTTTCATTGCTCCAAATTGTCTCAGTAAATATTCTTTTAAAAGTCTTTGTACTATTTTAAACAATTTCAATTTCAACAAATTAACTTTGTCAGGGCTGGCATATTGGTTTTCTGTATAAACATTAATTGGACTCCAACAGTTTCTCTGGGAAAGGAGTAGAGATTATATAAAATAGCTTGTTAAACTATAAACCACTTGGAGTTTGATGTTCAGTTCACATATTAATATATCTTGACAGTTATTAGTTTGCTTTTCAAAAAACCCTGTAGATATTGAGATAATGAATTTCATAATTAACTAAATGAATTTTATAATTTACCATTAGGTTATGTATAAATAGCATGCAGCTAAGGGCGAGTTCTTGTCACTTATCAAACCCTCTAAACAATAATAAAGTTATAACCAGATGTTCCCAATGGTTACATTTATTTCATTTATAAAGAAAGCACTGCTGTCTCAAATACTACATTCCACACTTCTGTTGAAAAGCAGATGGATTGGAAGCTAAAGAAGGTATTCTGATTTTGTTTTGTTACTTTTAAACACATTAATGTAAACATTAGCCCACCTTCTGTTAGTCACACTTCGGTGCCAAAGTTTGTCCTGAGATGTTAATTTAACTTGCTTTCTTGGGTCCTATGAAGAAAGGCTGCAGTTCCAATACACTATCCTAGATATATTGTCCAATGCAAAATATATATTTGAAATCATTGAGGCAGGGAAAAACTTGGGATGATGTAAGAAAGATGTAATTTTGCTATTTCATCAGTCATCTAATATCGTGTTTTTCATAAAACTCAGATCAGTAATAAGAAATTTTTAGGAATTTGTATTGAATAGTTTTATATCTTACATTTAATGAACTTTAAAAAATTAAACTTCTTAAATTAATACATTAATCTTAGATTATTAATAATTAATAAATTAATCTTAAATTAAAGCAATAAATTAGTAGATTGCTATTTTTAAAATAAATTTAAATAACAATTAGAAAAACATCAAAAGGAGAATCTGATAATTTAATAACATACCAAAGAAGCCAGAACATTGATTATTCCAGACTAAGTCCAGACTACAATAATATAATTCTGCTATAGTTCCAAGGAGATGAGATGAAAAGTTTTTGGACTAACAGATCATTATCATATGACTGAAAAAACAAATCCATGCATATTTCATTGATATGAGTATCTATAAATAGTGCAAGGAATTTCAAAATTGGAAACGTTTATCTATAGTACTTGGTATGAGATAATCAATTCTGTGTGTGTGTGTGTGTGTGTTAAGTGTTGCCTTACAGTAGAGGTGTCAAACTCACGTCTGTCACAGCGGTGTGACGTGATATATCACTCCCCCCTTTGCTAAAATGGGTGGGCGTGGTCAGCAAGTGGTGCATTCGGCCCATGGGCCATGAATTTTACAGCCCTGCCTTACACAAATGGAAAGATAGCCTAGTTAGAGATGTGTAACCTCATTTGGCACTTGCTTCAAAAACCATTTTGTTCTTCCTCCCTGCTCCTGATGGGGAGAATAATCAGTCATTTAGGTGAGAGAATCCTTCTCTGTTGCCAGTTCATTCTTTCCTATCCTGAATGAAACACATTTACCTTAACCCTTTAAAATTTTAATGGGCAAGGGCAAAGAAGGCTCTTTGTATATAAAAATAGGGGCGCAGAGACCTAGACCATTCCTTTAGTTTCTGGGGCTGCAGCCAGTGAGTTTTAGCTGGCAAGAGTTGGACTTACAATGAGGTGATCCAGGTTCAAATCCCCTTTCACCATGGACATTCACAGGCTGATTTGGGCCTAGTCATTCTTTCTCAATTCAGTTTACCTTACAGAATTGTTCTTGCTTGATAAGGTGAAAGTAAATCCTTACATAAGCTCTGTCAAACTCTTGGAAGAAAGGCAGAGTATAATCAAGCAAATAAATATATCTTGTAGCACCATCAGCAGGAGCAGTAATAAGGAATGCTAGAGGTGATAATTGGGCCCCATGTTTGAAGATTACTAATTATTTTTGCTATCTCTAACAGAGAGTGGTTTGGTAAGTTTCTCTGCCTTCTGAACGGATTTCCATGGCAGGAAAAAATACCTCCCTCCATACAAAACATGAGCTTGTACCTTCTCTAAAAAAAAGGGGGTGCATACTAATTGACATGTATCTAAATATATTTTGATGAACAACTTGAAAAAGCATATATTTTAAATCTGATAAAAGTTTTCTGCTCCAGCATCTCATGCAAACTGATAAAATAGGATTAGAAAGCAGAAACAACTGTCCCACGCTACTAACAGATAATTATGGTTAAAAAGATGAGACTGGTACTTTTTTCTATTTCTTCTTTTTGTAGAGGAAACATGCAAACCACAAAGTTCATGAGCTCTGGCAGGACATGACACTCTTGGGGATGCTCAGGAGGCTCATTTCCAGCTAAGAACCGACCACCAAAAGCCACTCCTGGATCTAATAACTCTTTTTAGCCACTGGGTAATTCCACTCCTTTAGCAAAGTTGCAACTTTTTGTTTCTGAGGTGGCAAGGGCTTGATGGGCTGGCAACGCTGGCTAGCCGAAGTGGTGAAGTGATTCATTTGGAACAGAATCTAAACTGAAGGGGTTTTTCTATTTTTTCTAAAAAAAAAAATTTTTTTTTATTCCTTTTAGATTTGTTTTATCCCCCATTATTTAGCTTCAGAAAAGAATGTTACTTACAGCAATGGGCAATAAAAGAATATTTGCTTTCATGTTTTTCTAAAAAAGAATAATGCAAAAGCAGTAGCAGCAAATTACCAATCTAAAATCAGCGGTCAATAAATCAGAGTATCCAATAGTAGAGTTAAATGCTTGTTGGGAAATGAATCTTTTAAGCTGACAGCAGAAAGAAAGTTAAAGAGTTTTGCGGCTGAGTACACTATGCATACAAGAGCAAAAATTCTTTTTGTATGCTGCTACAGGTCATGTTGTGAAACCAGTGGTGCACATATATAAGGGGAGCACAGGAGCTTTTAAAAAAATTTATGACATTCAGATGAGAACGGCAGTCAGAGTCCATTCTACTTTGGACCTTTAAAGGGGATAATCAATGGAGTAAAAAGGTGTTTCATCACTTGTGAGCCATGAATGTAGTGATTCCTTATGCACATTTTTCTTGGGATTATACAGCTGTTGTTAAGAAGTTGCATGATCCTTGGGAATGGCTGCTTTAAATAATTGCAGACAGATGCTACATTCAACCTCACACCTCTTTGCACTCTGAAAACAGTTATCAGCTAGCACAGCTGACAGACTGCTGATCTGACTCTTTTCTCTTAGTTGAAAATTTGTCAGCAATCTGACATACTGCTGCAGTTGAAGTTTCTGGGGTTTTTCATATGTAGCCCCACTTACATGACACTGCATATAAGATTGCAATTGGATTTGAATATCAAAGAATAACAACGAGCAAAAGTACTTCAGATTTGTTTCATCCGTAGAACATCCTTAGAACATCCTTAAAACAATGTTCTAGTTATTTTCAGAAAAAAGAAGATGGTGTCACCCATGCAGACATCATAGCCAAAAACAATTAAGGTTCTATTCTAACAACCTTGAATTCTTTTCCTTTTGTCTGAGTATTCTATAGGCTTGAATAAGAGTCATTGTTTTTTGTTGCTGTATGCTGACTCCATCATAAACAAATATCAAGAACGGGCTTTGAAATTTATCTTGCCTTATTTTATGGCAGCTTTAAGTTTGCAAGATTCTGCTCCTCTATATTGTCACATTGGAGGCGGGCAAGGCAAAAACCACACTTATAATTTGCTGGTTTCTTTGTAGATGGAAACTTCATTGAAATTTAATGAAGAAGCCAGTATACCTCTCTAATAATATTGTGCCACACTTTTCAAAGCCGCTTACTTAGCCATTGCAGCTAATATAGGACTGATCTCAACATTTCTCCTAATCAGAAGTAGGTGAATGCTTCTAACATGTTTATAAGAAGGGAAATCAGAACCAACCACTTATTCCATTGATGTTTTCACTTGGGAGATTGGACCTTTGCTGATAATTTGAAGTAAATTGTTGATTGTCAACAAAAGTAGAATTCAAAATTTCTATTGGGAGTGTTACAATGTAATTCAGTTTTCTAGAATAATTTCCCTGATGGATTCCCATGACATAGTAAACCATCTTTATTTATTTATTTTTATTTATTTGTCTAATTTATATGGCTGTCCATCATACCAAAACCAATTCTGGGCTAACAAAGCTAAAAACAATAAATAAATGCATAAAACATTATTGTTTTAATTAGAAAAGTAAAAAGTGTTAATATAATTAATAGTATTGTTATTAATTATAAAAAGCATTAAAAACTATAACAAGCTAAACAAACAATAATAATGGAGTTATCTCACAAGTTTATTTATCCCTTGGAGTCTCAAAGCTTGCCAACACAACCAGGTCTTAAGGAATCATTGGAAGCTCAGAGGTTATAAAGTCAACTTCACCTCTGGGGAAGAAGATTCCATAATGCAGGTGCCACCACAGAAAAGGTCTGCTGCCTAAGGCCTGCCAAATGGGACACTTAACATGATCTCTCTGAAATATATATATACATAACAATTCAACTTATTAAAAATAAAGCATGTAATAACTATGCATATGTATATGTCTGTGAGGGAGAGAAGAGCAGAAAAATATCAAATGAATTGCAATGATTGTAAAGTATTTGATTTTTTTAAAAAACAAATTCAACTATTCTTTTAACAATTTTCTGAAAAAAGCAATCTGTTAAAAGAAAAAAAACTTTTTGCGAATTGTCTGCAATATCCTTTGAAACAATAGTGTTAATACATACTGCTTTCTGGTAATGTTCATAGATCTTCTATTAACACTGAGTTTCTTTCTTTAGACGCCTGAACAGAAATAAACTGCAAGTTCTTCCAGAATTGCTTTTTCAGAACACGCTGAAGCTAACCAGACTGTAAGTATAGTTTTTATTTTTGGCATCCTACATGTGCTTTGGTTCTTAAGTCAGCAATTTTGGCTGTGAGGTTTTGGTATGATGCCTTCTTGAAGTGGATTTTGAAATGTGTCTTGGTTTATTATATAAAATCTTTTGCTGGGAAACATTTACTTGTCTTTTTACTACTCTGTAGATTAATTGTGAAGTCAAAACTGTCTTTGATATGTTTTTGTTTCTCTTTTCTTTTCTAATATGGCTACAAGTACCGGTAGATCACAAATTTCTACTTCCAGTTTATATTAACACACTGTGAGTTAATTTCAAAATGTTTGGTGGAACAAAGTAGGTTTGTAAGTCTCACAAATGTTGACTTTCCTCAAACAAAGCATTCTTAAAATTAATTACTGTATGTCAAACTGTGATTAATAAAATTGGGTATGAAGTTTCTTAATTTCCTCACATGCTGGCACATTGTAGGAGGACAGCCATATTAGTCTATAGTGGCAAAAAATTTGACGGTGACCAACAGTCCGTGAAATCTTATGTCTTTTAATAAAATTAATTACTTTGAAAAGGTGCTACCACATTTTGTCTGATTTTTCACACGCTGGGGAAGGAGAAGATTAAAAAAAAAAAAAAGAAATTGAGTACCTGGAGAGGGTAAGCTTACTCATGTTGTGAAAAGCTGCAATTTGTGATGAAGTCTGAAGAAACAAATTAGTTTTGGACGTAGGAGTTTAGGAAATAGGTGTCCATACAAGCACTGATTTTAATTCCAATAATGATTTTGCATAGCAATAGGACAGCTGTGATTATTATCACCTCTCATGACCCCTACTGTATTTGTTCAGTGTGTCCTTGAAGTAAACAAGGTCATGCCTTTGTATTCCCATCTACAGGTGAAACTCAAAAAATTAGAATATCGTGCAAAAGTTCATTTATTTCAGTAATGCAACTTAAAAGGTGAAACTAATATATGAGATAGACTCATTACATGCAAAACAAGATATTTCAAGCCATGATTTGTCATAATTGTGATGATTATGGCTTACAGCTCATGAAAACCCCAAATCTACAATCTCAGAAAATTAGAATATTACATGCAATCAATAAAACAAGGAGTGTACATAGAACAATATCGGACCTTTGAAAAGTATAAGTATGCATATGTACTTAGTACTTGGTTTGGGCCCCTTTTGCAGCAATTACTGCCTCAATGCCACGTGGCATGGAAGCTATCAGCCTGTGGCACTGCTGAGGTGTTATGGAAGACCAGGATGCTTCAATAGCGGCCTTCAGCTCTTCTGCATTGTTCGGTCTCATGTCTCTCATCTTTCTCTTGGCAATGCCCCATAGATTCTCTATGGGGTTCAGGTCAGGCGAGTTTTCTGGCCAATCAAGCACAGTAATCCCACGGCCATTGAACCAGGTTTTGGTGCTTTTGGCAGTGTGGGCAGGTGCTAAGTCCTGCTGGAAAATGAAGTCAGCATCCCCATAAAGCTCGTCTATGGAAGGAAGCATGAAGTGCTCCAAAATCTCCTGGTAGACGGCTGCATTGACCCTGGACTTAATGAAGCACAGTGGACCAACACCAGCAGATGACATGGCTCCCCAAATCAACCCAAACTGTGGAAACTTCACACTGGACTTCAAGCATCTTGCAGTGTGTACCTCTCCATTCTTCCTCCAGACTCTGGGTCCTTGGTTTCCAAATGAGATAGCAAAAGTTGCTCTCATCAGAAAAGAGGACTTTGGACCACTGAGCAACAGACCAGTTCTGTTTTTCTTTAGCCCAGGTAAGACACTTCTGACGTTGTTTGTTGTTCGGCTTGACAAGAGGAATACGACATTTGAAGCCCATGTCCGGGATCCGTCTGTGTGTGGTGGTTCCTGATGCACTGACTCCAGCCTCAGTCTACTCCTTGTAAAAGTCCCCAACACTTTTGAATGGCCTTTTCCTGACAATCCTCTCCAGGCTGTGATCATCCCTGCTGCTTGTGCACCTTTTCCTTCCACACTTTTCCCTTCCACATAACTTTCTTTGGGAACATCCAACTTCTTTTACAATTACCTTTTGAGGCTTTCCCTCCTTATGGAGAGGGTCAATGATGTTTTTCTGCACAACTGTCAGGTCAGCAGTCTTTCCCATGATTGTGCTTCCTACTGAACCAGACTGAGAGACCATTTAAAGGCTCAGGAACCCTTTGCAGGTGTTATAGCTTAATTAGCTGATTAGAGTGCGACACTTTGAGCCTAGAATATTGAACCTTTTCACAATATTCTAATTTTCTGAGATTGTGGATTTGGGGTTTTCATGAGCTGTAAGCCATAATCATCTCAATTATGCCACATCACAGCTTGAACTATCTTGCTTTGCATGTAATGAGTCTATCTCAAATATTAGTTTAACCTTTTAAGTTGCATTACTGAAATAAATGAACTTTTGCACTATTTTTTGAGTTTCACCTGTAGATCAAGATAAAAGGTCTAATTATAATTTGCATTATAATACCAAATTATACAAAATATTTTATATAATTTCAACAACCATGAGACTTTTGTTTTAAAAGTCACTTATTGTATTTCAGTATTTTATTCTGTTTTATATAAAAGGTTCATCTATGTAATTTGTCCTAATATACAGCTTGGCTGTATCCTGGATACTCTGTGTGTATGTGTGCATGTGTGTACACAGTATTGATAACCTGATTGTCTCAGTAAATGAATGACTCAATGGTATGAAGCTAGCTCATATTTCCCATCTGCTTCCAGTTGATAAGTTCACTTTATTTTTTTCCAGCCAAAATACCTGCAACAATTATTTGCAGGTGATTATTTATCTAAAAAAATTAGGATGTACCTTCAGTAAAAAAAAAAAAATCACCAACAGTATATGGTTAAATTTCCATCTGTATTTGTGATATAAAAATGACGATTTGAAAATTACAAAGTGCCATTTTATTGGGATAGTCTTTCCTGGATTTTCAATAATAATTTATATTGTCAATAATAGTTTAAATAAATTTTCCTGTATTTTGTGGGGAAATGGAATGAAAACAAGCCCTTGACAAGCTATTTAAATACCTGTAAAGTTATGAAGAACAGTTTTATCCTTCAACTGGCCAATTAAAACAAAAATCAGTTAAAAGAAACGGGCAATACAGTTGCAGTGTCTTTCAAATTATAGAAAATGTCTGAGGCTTCTATAATTATTTTCATGTCCTTTGGTGACATCTGTTTGATATTATGGATGGGAATATAGAGGAAAATCAACCTTAAAAAGGAATGCAAAGAGTTCTGTTAAATTAGTTTGATTCATACACTGCTAGGAGGAGAACTCCAGAAATTATGCATTGTATGTTTGCATTTTCTTCCAAGGTCATTTTGTTGCTTTGCTGTATGTTATTTATAGAACAGTATCTTCCTTGTCTGTGATGTTAAAAGAAAAAAAAGTTTCTGACATATTTGAATAATGTTTATATTTAGTTCCCATACCAAGTATTTGACGTAAATCGTAGAGTTTCAAGAAACAAAGCCAAATTTTCTGGAAATCAGTCTCTGGAGAATTTACATGTCTTAAAATAGACATTCCCATTGTTGGATTCATATTTGTGTAATAAATGCATTTATGCAAAGGATGAAGTAATAAGAAATGACTAGTTAGCATTCAATGTTTACCCATCTGATCAAACCAAAATTGGCATTTCATGTTTCACAAGTGAAGAATTTCAGAACTTCACTCAGCATATAGCCATCAATCTTTCTGTGGAAACTCAACCAGCATTCTGAAGCTTACAGAAGAAAAGTTAGACACGTGACTTGGATAGGTTCATGCTTGAATTGCAGATGCAAGCTTTAAATAACCAAGATTGGCTATTGCTGAATATAGCAATCAACCCGTATATATTAATTCCAGAATTTTTCTCTTATACTTACATAGTAGTGAACGTCTTGCCTCTTATCTCCTGGCTTGGTTATGGATATACCAATGCTCCATTTTCAGTTAGCTTGTTTGCTCTAAGGCCCTTCACTTTCAGGCTTGACAAATCAAGGTCTCAGAGAAAACATGCTTTGTGGATTTTTCAAAAAAGAAAAAAAATTGCAAAATATGCAAAAAAAATGCACCATGAGCATGTGAACCTTGCAAAAACAGTCCGTTTGGTATTTTTCTCCCTAGACATATTTCCTCTTTCATCAAATACAATAGTTTCATGACTTTTTGTTTTTTTTGTATTGATGGGTGTGCTCTTCTACCTTCAGGTTCAAAAGTTGGGCAGACTAATTCCATAAAAAACTTTCTTCTAAGATTTGAAAGTTCCATTACTGGACAGTAAAGTTTTTAACTTTAGCTGTGACCATTTTATTGGTCTGTTATTGATATACATAGAACTTACAGATAGCTCTTAATTTGCAACTGCAGTTGGGATTGAAACATCTGTTGCTAAGTGATGGAATTGTTAAGTGGGTAGTATCCTCTTTTATGAAATGTTTTGCTATGGTCATTAAGTGATTCTTGTCTGGCTTCTTCCATTGACTTTACTTGTCGGAAGAAATCTGGCTTCTTCCATTGACTTTGCTTGTTGAAAGTTCCTTGGGAACATTTCAATCATTGGATTGCATGGCGATCCTGTTACCCCAGGATGCTGCAACCATCATGTTAATTGTCAGGTGCCCAAAAATTGATCATGTGAACATGAGGACACTGTTATAATCATAGAGTTGAGGACAAGAAATAGGCTATTTTTTTCAGTGCTGCCATAACCTCAAACAGTCATTAGACAAATCGTTGTAATTGAGATAAAAAGCTATACAAATGCTCATACTTTTTTTAAAAAAATATTTTTTGGTGTTAGCCCCAAGTCCTGCTCCTGTCCAGATTTGGGGGTACATCAAATATAGTTAAAAGCATTCTTCCTTAACCCAAAGAACAATGAATGATGGTGCAACATTTAAAGGTTTTCTTAACAATCCCAGAGAAACTGAAGTTGGTCCCACTCTTCAATAACGGTTTTAGCTAT